AGAGGGGAAAAAAAAAGGCAAAAAAAAATCAGCCCCTCAAAAAAAAACAGAAAAAAAAGGGACCTCAGTAAAAAAAAATGCAAAAAAAGACTCTGAATTCAAAAAAAAACTGAAAAAAATGTGGCCTCCCAAAAAAAAAACAGAAAAAAAGGCGAGCTGCAGAAAAAAAAAGTCAAAAAAAAGGAACCCACAGAAAAAAAAAGGTAAAAAAAGTGGAAAGGATGAAAAAAAAATGTAAAAAAACAGGCGGGGGCCAAAAAAAAAACTAAAAAAAGTGTGGGACCCCAAAAAAAAAAGTAAAAAAATAGATGGGAGGTAAAAAAAAACCTAAAAAAATGTCCCCCCAGCAAAAAAAAAAGAAAAAAAACAGCTGGATCCAAAAAAAAAAGTAAAAAAAACTGTCACCTCCCAAAAAAAAACCCAAAAAAACAGCTCATAACCAAAAAAAAACTGAAAAAAAGGCAAAACCCACAAAAAAAAAGCGAAAAAAAGGTCTCAGCTTCAAAAAAAAAGTCAAAAAAAGGAGAAAAGAGAAAAAAAAAACACAAAAAAACAGCACCTCTGGAAAAAAAAAAGCAAAAAAAGGGTGTCGGTGTAAAAAAAAAAGAAAAAAAAAGGGTGCAGGGGAAAAAAAAAATAAAAAAAACTTCCCTCCTGGAAAAAAAAAACAAAAAAAATGGGGGGTGTACAAAAAAAAAGATAAAAAAAGTAACATCGTCTAAAAAAAAATGGAAAAAAAAGGACAATATCAAAAAAAAAAGGCAAAAAAATCTTCTGCAATAAAAAAAAAAATAAAAAAAACTCTCCCCCTGCAAAAAAAAAAAGAAAAAAAAGAGTGGATGTTAAAAAAAAACGAAAAAAAAATTAATACCATCAAAAAAAAATCCAAAAAAAAGGAAGAGTATCAAAAAAAAATGCAAAAAAACTACGATACTGGAAAAAAAAACAAAAAAAAAGCCTTGAGATATAAAAAAAAATATAAAAAAATGGGTGTATGCCAAAAAAAAAATGAAAAAAAATATCATCCTCTAAAAAAAAAGATAAAAAAAACAATATCACAGAAAAAAAAAACAAAAAAAACGATACTGTAATAAAAAAAAACCTAAAAAAATCCGGATACTAGAAAAAAAAACACAAAAAAACTGTACCCTCCCAAAAAAAAAGGGAAAAAAAGTATAGGCTTCTAAAAAAAAAATTAAAAAAAATATCACTGGGTAAAAAAAAATTCAAAAAAATGTTGGGAGTCAAAAAAAAAACTAAAAAAAAGGATATCAGGATAAAAAAAAAAGTAAAAAAATACTGCGATATTAAAAAAAAAATCAAAAAAACTGTCCCTGGATAAAAAAAAAGACAAAAAAAGTATGTGTACACAAAAAAAAATATAAAAAAAAATAATATTATAAAAAAAAAAACAAAAAAAATTGATTTTAATGAAAAAAAAACGGAAAAAAAGGCTCAAGCCTGAAAAAAAAACACAAAAAAAGGCCGAGATGGGAAAAAAAAAAGGAAAAAAAATCGAGACCATCAAAAAAAAAACAAAAAAAACCCGTCTCTACTAAAAAAAAATACAAAAAAA